CAGACGCACATAAAGTGCACTTGTGCCATATTATTATGCGGCATAATTAATATATCTTTTATAGCCTCTAAAATTTCACGCAATGCCATGTATTGATGTATAGCTGTATTCGCAGACAATATTTTAGGAATTCATCTTGTTCCCCCAATGTTTTATAAAGTCATAAGTCACGAAGCATGTAATATCGCACGATGTGCGTGCGCAAATACAAGTATAGATATACTGTAAACAACACCGCGGAAAACGTCCGCGCATGCGTCAACCTTACCTGTAATAGTATTGCGAACTTGATGAGAAGCTGTTCCGAACGTTTCCGAAGGCTCAAAATGGCGGTAAAAAGGAGTGACTTCATTGTGCGTCTTTACAGCCAGATTTCAAGCGCAAAAATAAACATGTCATTCTAAAAACTAGAAATAAATACAGCCAGAAGGTTCAAGAAATTGCATTGTACAAGAACATGAACTAAAGGTGATTGTTGACAAATTTATCGTCTGAAACATTTTGTTTATCAACTAAGCAATGACAATTTCCGAATTTTCGTTTGAGATACATTTCTTTAAAAAAACTGTGTCGCCAAATATAAAAAATTTGCGTGTTCACAATAATTAAACTTTAGGATTTATTCTACAATTTGAGTGGGTTAAGAAGCTTAACTTTTCGGGAGTTTTCTTAACTTTTTAGTTTGAATTTTTGTTTTGAATAATTTTGCAAAAATTTTCGAAGTCGTGTCCGTTAAAATCAACATTTTTTTACATGAATTATATTTCATTCCATACTTTAAATGCCAGGACGCTTTCAATTGATGTCTAGTCTACCCATTTGCTATATTTTCTCGTTTGTTTTACTAATATTTGACCAATTAATAAGCATGTTTTTGTTTAAGAAATTGATATTCAAATTCCCCGCCATATTTTCATAATTTGGTGCACGCACAGACGTTTTTCCGCGGTGTTACTGTAAACATGATTGAACCACAATATCGAATGTTTATTCAACGTTAATAATTGACACAAACAGCCCTGATACGTTTCCAACATTCGAACAGATAAGACGTAGTTAAGTGCCTGTTAATTTAAGTGACTAGGACTTCGTAAGTTGAACATCCGTTTTACCAGTTTTCCGCGGTTTTGGGATAAAACGCGGAACCGGAATGCGGATTCCGTAAGGGGATTCCGGATGCGGATTCCGCATTTGAGGATAAAACGCGGATTCCGGAAGCGGATTCCGCAACTGAGGATAAAACGCGGATTCCGCATTTGAGGATAAAACGCGTATTCCGGAAGCGGATTCCGCAAATGAGGATAAAACGCGGAATTGCGTAAAAAGGACGAGAAGAAGAATAGCGTATAAAAAACTTAAACTATTACTTTTTAAGGTCACAACCACTAAAAAGCGATTGGCTAAAGTTACCTAGTTATCCTAGGCCTAACTGTTGAAGTCATACATGCATTCATTAGTCTTGGTGACTTTTTGGACTATTTCTTAAAATTATGGAGGGAGGTGGAAAATCGTATTTATCAAGAGCGTCTTCATTTTTATCTAAGTTACTTTGTTAATGCTAGTAATATTCGGGCTTTGATGGCGCAGGCGTCAGAGGAGCGCCTTTCACCTCTGAGATTGTGGATCCTCTGAAAAGAGTCTGTCAACGCTCGGCCAAAAGTCGTGAGTTTTCTCCGGGTGCAAATGGAGCAGAAATCAATTCAAAGTAGCTAAAATTACGACTTATACGCAAGACATATAAGGCTTGTTAATTGGGAATAGATTAATATGAACTTTGTGTCGGATTACTAGGTGATTATGCATGGTTTTTGTCGGATTACTAGGTGTTGTACGCATTGTAATTAAGGTTTCCTTTAATTTAATTGCGCATCAACATTCCTTTAGTAGTTGTCGCCCGGCCATATCCTGCTGCGTTCCAGATTTTAGTTCAAAGTTCGAACGCATAATATGAAAAATATCGGTTAAATATTCAGTTGGACATTTGATCGCTTACACGCGTTTTGCTAAAACAGAAATTATTTTAGCAAAAGCAGTGTCTGAGGGAAAAAATGGGAATTTGAATTGATTTCTGAATTTCTGCTCTACCTGAATTGATCAAGTTACAAATTGATTCATATAAATCTTGCGCGACAATATTAAATACCGTATATACAAGCGTTATATGTCTTGCGCATAAGTCGTAATTTTAGCTACTTTGAATTGATTTCTGCCCTATTTGCACCCGGAGAAAACTCACGACTTTTGGCGGAGCGTTGACAGACTCTTTTCAGAGAATCCACAATCTCAGAGGTGAAAGGCGCTCCTCTGACGTCTGCACCATCAAAGCCCGAGTATTACTAGCATTAACAAAGTAACTTAGATAAAAATGAAGACGCTCTTGATAAATACGATTTTCCACCTCCCTCCATAATTTTAAGAAATAGTCCAAAAAGTCACCAAGACAAATGCATGCATGTATGACTTCAAAAGTTAGGCCTAGGGCAACTAGGTAACTTTAGCCAATCGCTTTTTACTGGTTGTGACCTTAAAAAGTAATAATTTAAGTTTTTTATACGCCATTCTTCTTTTCGTCCTTTTTTACGCAATTCCGCGTTTTATCCTCATTTGCGGAATCCGCTTCCGGAATTCGCGTTTTATCCTCAAATGCGGAATCCGCATCCGGAATCCGCATCCGGAATCCGCATTTCGGTTCCGCGTTTTATCCCAACCCGTTTTCCGCGTAAGTACGTACGTACACAACGTCATCGACTTTGACGCTGAAGGATCATTAAGACACTTTTCGCCTGGCCTGCTGTTCTTTAAGTATGTATAGGAACGGACATGTTCAAAGTCTGTTAAAAGTTACTTAATATTTGATCATTATGTTATTAAATTAATATACATTGGTTAATTAAATCAACCATCAAATATATATCATTTGGTAGTGTTAAACGATTTCGTGCGGCACTTATACTCGAATAGAAAACGCAAGGGAGGGAAATAGGACGTGATAAGTTTAATTTATACTGCAAAACGCATTCATAAAAAAGAGATTAAACATTCCTACCATACCTCACACGCAAGATCTCTCAACAATTTGGCATGCTGCCCGCACTAATGCTTGCCGAGAAAACCTGACAAACAAACGTCAAAGCTAGTAAACACCCTCGGTCTGGCGCGTTAGTCCTTTGTCCCTCGCTACTAATAAACAGTAGAGCGACTGGATTTCGTGGAAATTCAACCGTTGCAGTCGGTATATCAAATACGATCCCACAATTTTTAATAGACGAACAGTATAGGTTTATTTATTATATAGACAGACCCCGGATATAAGCTATTCTGCAATTTGATTGGCTCCCTATTAGCAGGATATTATATTTATTGGATTCTTTTGAGTCCATGAATGTGGCAAAATATTAAGTCGATACTGCAATACCGGACTAGACCGAAGGTCGAGCGTAATATTGAAGTCGAGACTTAATATTTGCCATATTGAGCGAATATGAATCCAATAAATGCTATAACAAAATTGCAATGTTGACATTATTGACACTAGCACACACGTGACTAGAAAGTAATTAGTTAAGTATTTTTAGAAGCACGAGGCTAGGGAACCGGGAAGTAATTGGATACGTACTATGCGGTTTGTACAAGTTGTTTGATATCTATTGTACATGTTATACTTAAAAGTGCTTGATATTGATACAAAACCACGAACATTACATTGGCGACGAGGTAAACAAAAAAAACAGCTATCGTTTATCAATACAAACGATTTTGAAATCTCTAGTTTACGAATACAGTCATGGCGACTGGCCGAATCAATGTAGCTCCAATGGCGCCATTTGATCCTATGTCCGATACAAACTCTCTCAGTCAGCGCTGGAAAACGTGGAAACGACGATTTGAAACATATCTTGTTGCTCTGAATGTGACTGAAAAGAAACAAAAGCGGGCTCTCTTGTTGTACCAAGCTGGCCAAGAGACTCAGGATATTTTTGATACCCTTGTTGACATCGGCGAAGACGACGACTATGATTCCGCTATCGCTGCCCTCGATACGTATTTTCACCTAAAAAACATGTCGATTTTGAAATTTTTAAGTTTCGTGAAGCCAAACAACAACCACATGAAACAATCGATCAGTTTTCAACTCGTCTTAGGAAGCTGGCGGCAACCTGTGACTTCGAAAATATCGACAAGGAAGTAAAATCGGCCATAATTCGAAACTGTTTATCGAAACGTCTACGACGCTACGCCCTGCTTGACTCGGAAGTTACGCTAGCCAAGATTCTCGCAAAAGGCAGAGCTTTTGAACTCAGTGAATCGCAGGCAACCGGCATTGAAAACGCACTTGACTCAACACATATTTCTGACGAAGTAGTTGAAGCTGTCCATCCTACAACGAAACATAACAACCATCGTGATAAACAACATACATCGTTTCACCGCCAAGACTTTTACACCTCATCAGAGTGTCGGAATTGTGGGGGGCCCTGGCCCCATAACAACAATATTTGTCCCGCGAAAGGAAAATCTTGTCTGAACTGTGGAAAATCAAACCATTTTGCGAAAGTCTGTCGTCAAGAGAATCGAAGTCTTTCAAAAAAATACCACAAAAACAAAGTTCACAAGATTTATGGCAAACCCTCCAGCAGTGAAAGAAGTAGCGAGGATGAATTCATTTTTACTCTGAAACCGACATGTAGAGACAAAACAACTCCACAGGTTCAAATTTCGGTCAACACCACCCTTTCAACATGGTTATCGACACTGGTGCTTCCATCGACATCATCGATGAACTTGCTTTCAACACCTTGCAAAAACAGAGACCCATAGCCCTTCAACGTTCCAAAACACGTATTTTTGCATATGGAGCTACAAACCAGCTACCTGTTATGGGACAATTTCGTGCAACTCTAAAATGTTTGACTGGTGCAACAACCACGCAAGTTCATGTTATCAAATGAAATTTTGGTTGTTTGCTAAGCTATCAAACGGCATCTGCTTTGGGTCTAATCATGCTGAATGTTAACAATGTGAAACCGGAACATGCCACCCATGAACAACTGATGAAAGAGTATGCCCATCTGTTCAACGAAATTGGCACTCTTAAAAATTTTGAAGTTAAATTGCACATTGATGATACTGTCCCTCCAGTAGCACAAACCCCCCGTCGTATTCCTTTCCACATGCGGCAAAAGGTCTCAGATGCGCTCGACACGTTAGAAGGTGATGGAGTTATTGAAAAAGTATCAGAGGCCACTCCTTGGGTCAGTCCATTAGTTGTTATCCTAAAGAAAGATGGTGAGATCAGGCTATGCATTGATATGCGCATGGCTAATCAGACAATTCAACGCGAAAGACATCCGACCCCAACTGTGGATGATTTAATTCACAAATTAAACGCCGCCACCATATTTACAAAGCTTGATCTTCGCTCGGGATACCACCAGTTATCTCTCGCTGAGGAAAGTCGACACATAACCACATTTGTAACGCACAAAGGACTCTACCGCTATAAGAAGTTGAATTTTGGCTCCAATTCGGCAAGTGAAATCTTCCAACATGTAATTAGCGAACAAATCCGTGTCATTCTGAATGCCATCAACATTAGTGATGACATAATTATCTTTGGCATCATTACAACCCGCACATGTGTGAAGAAATTAAGTCTCGAGGTGTTTGTATACTGCTCAATGTGCCTGATTGATGACAGTAAATTGATTTGCTTGTGACGAAATTAGGCAAGCTGGTGTGATATTTTATCTCTGTAGGAAGAGATTTTGTAATATATAACTATGTAAATAGTTAAAATGTTGCTTTTGTATCAGTGTTCTGTTACACTACGTAACTAGAACTGAGTAAACAGCGTTAGCGCGCCAAATTCAATAACACAGCGAAGCTTAATTGTCTGCCAAGACTGCCATGGCGCAGCTTATATATAAAAACACCACAAACTTTAAGAATGCGGCGATACCACTGCGTATTTTCAACCTCTCGATGGAGATAGAAATTGCCAGTATGCGTACAATAGTAAAATAGACGGTTATCTCAAGTCAAACCGAAGGCACGATTAGGTGTAGAGATATTCAAGAGTTTGTCTGACGAAATTCATTTAAATGATTTAATTCAATAAGTCAGACATTACTACGTTTGTGGCAGAACCGTACAGTATAGGAGGGACCAAGGAGAAGCAGTGATATAATGGAAATTACATGGTATTTTGGTAATGGCATTCAGGCTGGGTAAAGTGAACGAGGATTTCTTGAACATCAAGCCATGTTACGCGTCAAGGTCATGTTACGCGTTGTAAATGCGATTCCACTGGTGCAATTTGGCGCTAATTTTACCAAAGACATTTTGTGTGAGAAGATATCAAACGACGATGTAGACTATACATTGTGCCAACACTGGAATCATAATTAAACATAGCCTGCTCGTAGGCTGAAATTAATACACCAAGACGCAAAATTACATCATTACGAAGCGCGGCTTGCTTGAAGCAAAGTAAAGCCAAGATTCCGGCGCGGAAATATCAAACCCATGATGCTCGGATATCGACCAGCGAAATAACCAGCCCGTGCAAAAGACGCCTGATCCTATTCAAGGAGGACAAGTAAGCTTGACATAGGTATTAGCCTGGTGCATTCGACAGAATAATGGTAGAGAATTGAATTTCAACTTGAAGTTGGACGGCCGTCCACTTTTGGGGTAAAAAATTTATCTATTAAACAGGCTACAACAGTATTGCATGCAGACGGGAATTTTTCACGACACTAATACCTCCAAACTCCAGGTTATATATTTTTGATAATTAAAAATTTAATATTGACATTGACCGCCCATGACGTCAGCACGCCCTCTCACGCCCGGGGGTGGTGGGGGGGGGGAGTGGTGGCAATGTAGCAAAAACCTCTAGCTTGTCAAATTTTCAATGCCTTTCATAGTGACAGATTGTCGAGATTTAATGACTTTAGATAGCTGGTTTAAACTAAGATGTGTTACTGAGTAATAACAAAATCATAAAGATTATAAACTCATGTTTACTATAAATAATAATTTTACGATAAATTATTCACTTGTGGCAAGAGCCTCCAAGTTGTCAAGATTTTCAATGTCTTTGGGCAACAGGTTGTCAAGACTTCAATGTCTTTAGGCAGCTGGTTTGAACTATGGTGTGTTATATATACTAATTAAAAAACCTATTATTAAGGATAACTCATGTTTACTTTAAATTATGATTTAATTTTACAATAAATTTGCACTTGTAGTAAGAGCCTCCAAGTTGTCAAGATTTTCAATGTCTTTGGGCAACAGGTTGTCAAGACTTCAATGTCTTTAGACAGCTGGTTTCAACTATGGTGCGTTATATATACTAATAATAAAAACCTATTAAAGATAAATGATGTTAATAAATTATGCACTTGTAGAAAGAGCCTCCAAGTTGTCAAGATTTTCAATGTCTTTGGGCAACAGGTTGTCAAGACTTCAATGTCTTTAGGCAGCTGGTTTGAACTATGGTGCGTTACTTAACTCGATCATGTTTATTTTAAATTATAATTTTGCGGGGAAAATTTAAAATAATATGTACCGGTATTAACAGTCTCCAACGGTTTTCATAATCTTCGTCATCTAAGGCTTGTGAAGATAACTTACGACTGTTTAATTTTAAATTACATTGTATCAAATTAAGGACAAGTACTGTAGCAAGTACTTCCAATTAAGTTAAATCCACATTTTAAATGTCCCTGGACAAAAGAATGCAAAGAGTTCATTTTGATATGGTGAAAACTTCAGTGTTGCATTACCCTCCCCCCATCTCAGTTCATCCTACTTTGTTATTTTGGTACGTCTAATAGCGGAGGATTGCCGCGTGCATGTAATATATCTTCTCAGGAAAAACTTCATCTTCATGATCCGGTTTTGCTTTAAAATTTTTGTTTACAGTAAATATTGTACAGTCTTTATAGCTAGCTATTTTTGTACAAATTTGTAAAACTAAATTCTTGTAACATAATCCATGATTCTTGAATAAAAGTTTGTTAAAATCAGTGAAGGCAATTCTAAAAAAAGTTGAATTGTCTTCACAGTGTTGTTGTTTTGTTTTTCCTCTATTTTATCCTATCCATGTGAGCAATATTAAATCCGTTTAATTGCATGAATCGAAGAGCATGAATTGAAGATTGAAGTAGCGTGTATCATCATTTATCCAACGTTTTCCTGCAGGTGCAGTATACGCCAGAAGCGTACGTGCCGCCAACTGTTTCTTTTGACCCGATAATAATTCCGCGTCTCACAAAAACACTACCACTATAGCCTACAAAATGTGGTGTTTTATACGAATGCGCTGACTAAAGAGAGTATAATGCTACACCTACAGACTACCGCCTGTTTTCCGTCGAATTTCGGTCGCGTCGAATGCAATTCAAACCTATTGTCATTGCGTATAAAACGGGCCTAAAGAAAGAAATATAAATATTAAGAGGCAAACAAAGTTAATTAAACAATAAGCAATACATGCTTTTGCTCCGAGAGAATACGTTTCCAAGTTTGCCAAAAAAGAAAGTTGGGTCAAGTTATAGATTAAATTGTGTAAATATTCAAATTAAACATACAAATTAATAAATAACTGGAAGATGAAACTAAACCGCAATCATATTTCGGAATCACACACTGAGATGTAGTTGATTGGTGACGGGTG